CTAGAAAAATGCTAAATTAGAAAGAGGAACTCCCAGGTTAGTCATTAGTTACAAACCTCTTAATGAATTCTTGGAATGGATACGGTATCCAATTCCCAACAAAAGAGATTTAATTAAGAGACTTAATCAAGCTGTAATTTCTCAAAATTTGACATGAAGTCTGGATTTTGGAAAATTTAAATTCATGAGGATGATAAATACAAAACAGCATTTGTCACTCCTTTTGGTCATTATGAATGGAATGTAATGCCATTCGGTCTTAAGAAGCACCCAGTGACTTTCAGAATATCATGAACAAAATATTTAATCAATACAATCATTTTTCAATTGTTTATATTGATGATGTTCTCATTTATTCCAAATCGATAGATGAGTATTGGAAACACTTAAACATGTTTGTTAGGATAATTAAATCGAGCAACATTAGTCAATCAATATGACTCTTATTCAACCCCAACATACCAGTAATCATCATCCCAACTAGTCAGTTATACCAAAACATCATCATATGTCAAGAAAAACCCCAGTGAATATCTTTTTAGTATCCCTTTCAATCTCAATCAAGAACAAGTACCAAAAAAATTAGCCAAAACAGTCTTTCCACCCAATTTCCATTATCATCCTACACAACCACATAAAGCACTAAAATACTATCAAGTCATCCTCAACGAAACTGAGTCCATTTCAATCAAACCTCTCTACAGCAAAACCCATGAAAACAAAATCCTCTACCATTCTCTTTACATTGGAAGGTTTTTAACTGAATCAGATTGGGGAATCCCCATTTACAAAACCAAACCTCTTCATACCCAATATATTCATATTCCCAACAACCATTACAATTATTTTGATTACATTGATGCATGGACTAACATCTTTCTCCATAAAACAGAAGATTTTAGTCATTCATGGTTCATTAATTTTGACAAGAGTTTCAGATTGAATTTTCCTGCATGGTTTCCAAATGGTGGTCAACTCACGACCTAACAGCCAGTCTCCTACCAGAAAAACTTATGCAGGTTCTCTTTGCCAGTTTCCAACAAAAATTTGACAGAAGCCGATTCAACTACAGAATTACACTTCTCCCAATATTCATGGCCAAGTACAAAGTCTCATGGATCTTGAAGTGGAATTATGAAGTCGAAACATGTGAAGTTTACAGAGCCAGATCAGTCAAGTGGTGGGATAAATTCAACCATCAGAAGACCATCAATCAGGTCATCATCGAATTTCCTATTACTCCACTCCCAATCATTCCGGCACAACCAACACAGCCATCACTGCCAATCATTCCAAAACAATCATTATCAGACATTAGTCCATCTTTGTCCCTCAAAGGAACGGTCAAATCTACCAAATCGTCAGGCTCAAAGAAAAATAAAGTTACTCAACTTGAAGATTTAGCACAACAATTACTTGCAGAAGCAGCGATGCTCAATACTAAAGAAGAAGAAGTCGCAGACTCCGAATCTTCAAACGCAGCCTCATAGCAACCATCCAACTCAGCAAGCCAAAAAATACAGTCAGCTAAGTGGACCGACTACTAGGATTCCCAGGACCCATTTGATTAAAAACCATGTGAAAACATCAGTCATCATGTCAAGTCACCATGTGAACACAGTCATTTGCCGTGTGAAGCATTCAGAAATTATTCTCACCAATGATTCTGACAAAGTTTGGAGTCATTCATTCATTCATCCATCCCATGCTTCCACAATATTGGCAACAAATATTCTTCCACAGTAAAAGCAACAATTATTCCAACAAATTTCACTGTTCATAAATAGTGAAAGCAAGTCATCATTCAAAGTCATTATTCATCAATAGTAAAAGTAAGTCTTCCAAGACCTTTTCCAAGTCTTTAAGAAGTGAACTACGGATGAGAAGGTTTCAAGTTTGGAATTTCCACAATTTCTCAATCAAAAGTTTCTTTGAGTTCACACTGTACCCAAAGAAACAAAAAATTGTAAACATTTTCATTTTAGAATGTCAAAGATGCCTGCGTGCACCAATATCCTTTTCATTAGTCATTTTCTTATTTGCTGAATCAATTGTAAGTTCCGGTGTAAGTTTTGCAATAAAACTTATTTTTAAATTATATTTGCATCATTACTTTGAATTCATTATTTTTATTATGAAGAATATTTTCATAACAACTGATTTTAAATGGCATAAAATTCTTACTCATAGTCAATTCATCAAATACCTCAAGTTCAAGGTAAACACCGATCAATTATTTGTTCAATTCTTTCTATTTGTTTATAGTAGTTGGTTTCATGGCATTTTTAATCGTGGTTATCCTCCACATCAAGTTCCATATAATTCAATTAACAATTCATTTAACAGTTCATTCAACCCTAATCATCATTGCCCTTGGTATATACATACATACATACATACATAGGACTCATTGAGATTGAAATTTGATGTTAACAATTTGATTCAATTTTATATTGGGATACTTTTGAAGGATATTATGTAGGCTTAGGGTTTTCTTGTAAGAATTTGATTCATAATTAGGTCTTTATATACACAGCTCTTGTAATTCAGTAGATGAAAATGAAGTGTTGACAATATGCAGTTGTTTTATTGTGCATTCATCTTAGCGATCTGGAGTATTCTTTGTTCTTTGAGAGCAAGTCATTTGTTTTAGGAGGGCAAGGCAAGGCAAGGGCAATAAAATTGATCTTACTATTCACTCTGAATAGTAATTGCTCTTGTGCAAGTCCATCCGCTTGTAAAGGACAAGGGCAAGCAGTATTCACAAATAAATATTTTTAATTTTTTATGGTTGTAAGTTTGTTCCATAAAAATAAAATGATTGTCTAATTTCAATAATATATTTCATATACAAAGAATGAAGAAGATGGTTGGGTATTTATAGAAAAAAAAAAATTGTATATTTTTGGGGGTTTTTTTTTATAATTTTTTTTTACATTAGAATAATCATGGTCGTTGAATTTCAAAATTATTTACGTTGGATGCTTCAGATTATGCCATGTGGCTGCTACAGAAAAATGTGAATTTTTTTACCGTTAAAAATCCAACAATCCAAATCAAATTACCCTTTGAAAATCTGACGACTCAACTTGGTGGGAAAATGAGCGATTTGGCTTTGGGCTTTGCACGTGGATGGGCCCCACTCACTCAATTATTGTAGCCAACAGGGGCAAGCCCAGGTAGAAGTTGCTGGGTCAAGCCCAGGCAGAAGTTGCAGGGGCAATGGAAAGGGCATAAGCCTTTAGCCCAATTCCCTTTATTTTTTGCATCCAGAAACCACCTTTTTGGGGGCTAAGGACAATTCAACCCAGTTGCCCTATCAATTGGATTACCAATGGACTTGCTCTTATGTAAATAATAAGAATTAAGATTGCAATTAGTTTTCTCTTCTTTTCACTTTCTTGGATTTGTTAACACACAATTTGAAGAAATATGGAACATTCATGTCAATAAACTACTCTCTGTCATTTCATAATAGAAAAGAAAAACCTACTCTTTTAGCTAGTTCTTCACCATTAGAGTACGTAAACACCTATTTTTAAAAGGATAATGCTAAGGAGACTAAATTTCTAAAATAAATTTGCAAACTAAATGATGTGTCACCAACAGAAATGAACACGTTCATCAATGCTTGAGTAATAAACCAATTATCAGCTTTCATGTCCTTTAGTTTTCAAAATTTAATCTATAAATTTAGTATCCATAGCATTACTCTTTTTAGATAAAAGCCGCTTTAGACAACGTTTAATGATAATAGGCCTAGAATAGGACAAAGACTGATTGGGCTACCCGAACTAACCCATTTAATTTGTTTTCTGTTTTTACTTGTTGGTTGAGTCTAAAATTTTTTCGGTTTATCTCAGATGTACAAAGTCCACTTATCCACAATCTTAGCTTGTTTATTCTTTTTTTGTCTCCTTTATTAAAAGGAAGGAATTGAACTCGTGACTTCGGATGCAGAGAATAATCTGAAACAACTGGGTTACAAGCTCCTTGTACGTTTGTTCTATGTGAACACAAAAAACTTGGAGATCTTTTACTCGCTTGTTAAAAAAATATGATAAATCATACATTCAGCTTGCTAGAATGTAGACCAAGAAGTCCTTAGCCACTTTCAATGAAGTAGAAACGATGAACATAATGGACAAAGTCTGTCTGTGGCTGAGCAGAATCCTTGCGTTATCGTTTCAGTGTTTCCTTAGCCTCCCATCCTTCACGGATTCATGATGGCAGATAATTTAGGATCACAAAAAATGCAATGTGAGTTACTCAGCTGGTTAACGCAATGTGTGTGTGTTCGCCTTTTCGGGCCAAGTCGATCAACCATTTCGAATTCACATCTTTAAGTATGTTATAATAAAAGGTTTTTTTATTCATTAAGATTAAGAAAACCTTATATTTTAGCGTTGCAAAGTTAGGTGTATTTTTTTGTCCAATACCAAACTGAATATCTTAAATCGACAAAAAAACTCATATTCTCCAGGAAAAGAGACTCATTTTTTTATGGAAAAGGATCCGGCGCCCATATGCTTTTCTTAGGGATCCCGAGAATCTCGTGATCGTTCATCGTATATTGTACGGTCAGTTTTCGTTAGGTACTATTTATATTTAATTTTAAATGATTTCTGACTGTATGATATACGATAAACAATCATGATCACAATGATGGAACTCTAAGAAAATGATCCAGCAAGAATCATTTTCCCCTTTTTATGGCCAATAAAAAGCCACCGTGACAGCCTAATGTACTTTGGATTAGACAAGCAGGTTATGTTTTGGCTTAGGCTTTTAGATTAGGCACTTTGCACGCTTTCGGCTAACGAGAAAAGCCATCCTTCACGGGCAGCCTAATTTACTTTAGATTAGGGAAAGCAGGTTAGTTTTGGATTAGGCTTTCAGATTAAGCACTATGCACGCATTGTGCTTAAGAGAAAAGCACATAACAGATAGCATCCTCTTGTGTTTTAACTTCAACGACAATTAGAGAAGCAAAAATTATTGAAAAATCACTTATATTGATATAAGATTATTCTTGTACCAAACAACCAGGACATCTTCAACATAAGTTAAGGGAACCCCAGATCCATTACACGAACCTAAAACTCTCACTTGAATACCTTTCAAAATCAAAGCTTATTATTGTACCAGAAGACACCTTTCTCGTCACCCTCGTCAGGCTCGACGTAGATACACTCCTTCACCTCCCTAAACATTGCCTTGTAAACCGGAGTCCCGTCAAACTGATAGTACTCGCCCAAGATCGGCTTGATCACCTTGGTCGCCTCCATTGCGTGATAGTGCGGCATGGTTGAGAACAAATGGTGAGCAACATGAGTGTCTGTGATGTTGTGGAAGACCTTGTTCAGGATTCCGTAGTCTCTGTCAACGGTGGCCAAAGCTCCCCTGAACCAGTCCCATTCGGAGGAATCATAGTGCGGCAATGCAGGGTGAGTGTGCTGCAAGTAAGTGATTAACACCAAATATCCGTTCACCACCATTAGAGGACCTCCGTAGAAGCATATAACCCAAGCAAGCCCCTTGGCAACGGCAAGACGGTAAAGCCCATAGAAGACAGCAAGAACACCAGCATCAGACACAAATATCTGTAATCGTTCGCGATCAGAGAAGATTGGGCCATATGGATGATAGTGGCAGGCAAATCCTTTGTAGGGCCTTCCAGAAACGTTGAATGCAAGATACAGAGGCCAGCCTAGAGTGAGTTGGACGGCGAGTGTGAGGAATCTGCCTGGTGGGTTGTTTAGATATTTTGCCCACCACCCTATCGCAGACTTTTGCTTGGGGACAAAGACTTCATCCCGCTCAAGGGAACCTGTGTTGGAATGGTGGCGGCGATGGCTATACTTCCATGAGAAGTATGGGACAAGAAGGCAGGAGTGGAGAATCAAGCCAACAGTGTCATCCAGCCACTGGTAATCACTGAAAGCATGGTGCCCGCACTCATGTGCTATGACCCAAACACCGGTGCAAACACAGCCCTGAACATACCAGTAAATAGGCCATGCCAAGAAGGAGAGAGGTTGAGAGAGATTCTGGATGTAGGTGGAAGCAATGTAGTAAAGGATGGAAACAATGGCGAGGTCATAAAAGACATAGGAGAAGGAGCGGATGACAGAGCGCTGAAAACAATGAGGTGGGATGGCTTTCTTGACCTCGCCGAGGCTGAACGGAGGCTTTGTGTACGGAACTCGCTTGACAGTGTCGGCTTCAGCAATTTTACGCACACGGAGTGCAGTCATATTTCCACCGGCACCCATTATTCACAAATTCCTCCTGATAAAACCCTGAAAGTGAATAGTACAGAAACGATAAGACACCACAAAAGTTACATGAAAAAATACGACCAACAAATCAAGATATTGTAGTTCGAAGCCTAACACGACAACCACTCAAATTTGGAACGCAAAAGTAAACGGACCAAAACAAACGTTCACAGGCAAGAGGAATATCCAAAAAAATCCAACGTATACAGCTATAGGAGCAATTACAAGCCCAAACAAAATTTGACCTAAGTTAGTGCCGCTTCCATTAACCAGTGGAAACCTACGGACAAAGGTTTTCCATCCATTATTTTGGTAAATATATTATCTAATATTAGCAAAGACGGAGACAGAAATACCAACAAGTTGATACAATGAGCTCTAAATAAAACAGATCCCTTGTTTAAGCGGGCATAAACTACTTGATTAAATCGTAATTAGCAATTTGACTACCAAATTAAGAGGAGCATACAAATAAACCAAGAAGATATTTTCATCCTTTTCAGGTATATACCACTCAAAACCGCATATTTCGTTTGCTTGTTTTACGTTTAATCACTGTTTAAGTACGTCCTGTTTCATCCTTAAACATCATCGCAACAAGGAATCAATTGTCGAAAAGATGCCCTACAGAGCACTGTTAATAAAAGGGAAAATTTGACTACATTGTTTTATTAGTTGGAAGGTGATTAGGACCCACATTTTTAATTAATCAAATTCATAAGCACCAAAGCTGGAGCGGCTGAAAGCAACCCTACATGCACATAAACAAACACAACCAGCAAGCAAGTTGCGATGCACCAGACACTCCATTTTACAGTAGACAAGGAATTCAGAGTGGCCCATCACGTGAAAATACACACACATATACATATACATACATATATATTTATTAATTGATACTACTCTAAATTAAGAAAAGAAAAAAAATCATAAACCCATCTAATCCCTCCCTATATTCTTGTCAATTAAACAAATTAAAATAAATTAACAAAAATACTACTCTTACCATCTACTTATATCGTTATTTGTACTAGACGTGACCCTATCTCTATTAGAGAGACAGTACAAACAATTGTATTGTAGCATTACAGTAGTGTGTAAAAACCATTTTCAAAGAAAAAATCTTTGTACAAAATTAAGTACATGGAAGCTGCGGGAAAGTATGGTTTAGCTTTGCCAAAATCGTGGCCGACCTTTAGACACGGTTGATTAAACAATAATTAACCACAAGTCCACTTTCTAAGCATGTTTCACCATTCTGCCGAACAATACCAACTTGTCGATTGCCAAAAGTGCCCAGGTTTTTTTGTTGCCAACCAATTTTAATTGCTAAAATAATATCGTTTTCCGAATATTATTCAAAAACTGTTACGTTAAATCGAATTTCACGTTGGGTTTTTCCTAATTTTCGAATTGAAAACCTACCAAAAAGCAAAAGCCACCCTACTTTTCGGAATTTATGCCGAAAACACAAAAAAAAAAAACTTATCAGAAAGTGTGCATACATGCCGGCACTCAGTTGCGACAGACCATGTTTAAACGCCGCGTTTCTGACGAAACGAAGACGGAAAGGTTTAGAAATCGGCTGTGGAACGCGAGGCATCGAAGAGAGAATGAAAGACACCGACCACAGAGCACCAAAAAACCGAATCCGGATGAACAAATAATATTTTGTTTATCAGATAATTGTAATTTATTCATTGAAAAAATAAAAAAAATTTGAGATGACGACAAAGCGAGAGATCAATGTGGCCGCCATGGAAGTACAAAATCAAACAACACGACAAAAGATCCAGTCTGTTAGGCACGGATGACGCAGATCGGACTTCAAAAAGCACAAATCCTTTCAAAATTAAAGAAAATAAAAAAAATTCAATGAAATTAATATTATTTAAACAAAATTATCATCTGCATTATCTTAATCAAGCTCAAAATCTAAGCCGTCGATACCGGAATCGCAAGAGAAAAGAACGGTGAAAATTTTTCCGCCATTAACGGCGAGATCTAACCCAGATTACGCCATTGGAGCAGAAAAGGAAGCTCAAACACGCAGATTTCCAATCACATTCGATCACAAAAAGCGAAATGCAGTTAAAAAACCTGAGAAATTTAAACCGGAAGCAAAATGTATCGGAAAAGAAATAAGAGAGGAAGTACCTGAAACGATAAGCCCTTCTTCCTTGTCTCACCTCCCTCTCTCTCTCTCTCTAGCTTTCTCTCTCCTGAGCTCGACGGCCTGGTGTTGGATCAGAAATCTCCGGCCCTTTTGAAGTGCTCGCGAGCCCCGAGCACACCACTATTTAAAGCTCAAAGGCTTCCCTCCTTCATCTGAATCTGTGGGCCCCGCCAATCTCGGTTCGACTTTCCTACGTGGGCCCTGTTGATTGGATCCTCTTTGTTACAATTTTCGGCGAAAAAATTAACTGATTTCGTGAATGTGATCTTGGCCGTTGATTGTGAGGAGGAATTGAGTTGTCCAAAGCTATTTGACCGGTTGTGATGATGGGAAGTACCTACCTAAGCAAGGTGAGAAATATCTAGGGAATATGTTCATCGAGAAATAAAATAAAATAAAATTCTGACGAATCACGTGTTGGCTGGATCATTGCAGAGAAATTTTTAATTATGACAGAAACACTGGTGGTACATCACTTGTTTTTATGTAATTGGTGAAAAATTTTGTTTTTTAAGTTATTAACTTTCTAATACACAAATCCTACTATTTATATAATAACATGTGATGTACCATTTCGTATATCGGTCACACTGAAAAATCTCTCAATTACTGGATGGTGAACTTTTGTAATCACGAAAATACCCCCCTTGAAGTTCCGAAGGCGGAAAATTTGAAGGTCGTTTCTTGCCGAAATTATAATTTTGAAAAAACTTGGTCGGTATTATGGACCAGCATTTAACACCTACATTTGACAACAAGAATTCAATAACCGCACCGTCTCGGGTTCGATGCCAACTTGATGTTCTGATCAACGGAACAAAAATTAAGGGGTGTATTTAATTGGGAATTGGAGTGATTTTAATTGATGTATAAATTCATGAATTTTTATAGAATTTAATTAATTTGTAAAGATTTTATGTAAAATTTTGATTCAATTCTCTTGAAATCTCATGGGGAGATGTAAGATTTGTGGATGCTGAAAATACATTACAAAATCTCTCAAATTCCCTCAAATTCCTTAACTTTTTGAAATTCATTAAAATCAAATTCTAATTTTTTACATTGGAATGTTATAAACTTTTTTAAAATTCTAATTGAATACATCTAGATTTTTTAAAGATTTTAATAAACTATCTTAAAATCCTGATTGAATACACATTAAATTTCAGAGAATCACTTAAAATCCTGATTGAATACCCCTAGATTCATTAAAAGTATTAAAATCCCTCAAAATCACAATTGAATACACCCTCCTAAACTCTGTTTATGTTGTGACCTATTTTCTACTTTGTTTTATGTTGTGACCTATTTTATCTGAGGGAGAAAGAGGGTGCGGCAGTAATAGAGTGGAGAAGTTGTAGAATGCTTTGGAATTGTTGTGATTCTTTGTATGTTTGTGCCTTTATTTATAACCAAGTGAAAAAATTAACATGTAATCCAAATAAGTACAATCCTATAGAGAAAGAATCACTAAAATAATAGATAATTTAGAAACCAAATATATATAGAATTTATACAATAACAATTAGATAATATTTATAACAACTTAAGGTAAGCTATCTTACTCTATGTGAAATATGGGCAACCGGTATGGGCCGTATGGCAGGTAGGAACTCATGTCCACTAACAATTGTACACGTGTATTTGTTTGGTATTTATTAAAAAGTAGTAATTTTTTTAACACACGATAATATCTACATTAAGCAAATGAAAGAGTGAGCTAGGTTTCACAATATGCTAGTAATAATGTAGTTCAAATTCGCCTTTAATGATAATCGAATCTAAGACCTCTTACTTACAAGTGAAGAGAAATACTATTAAACCGTAATACTAAGTGACTTAAAAAAATTATTCTTTTTACACCTAATTTTTATCTTTGGACACTATATATTTTCTCCGGCCACCCATGTAAGTGTATAATATTGTCAAATCATCTCTACTTAAAAATAGAGAAAATTTTGACACAACCATCTCAATCGTGAATCCAACTCCAAACCTTTCTTTTTCTTCTTCTTTCGCCTCTCCCTATTCTTCTAAAAAAAACAGCAAATCTCAATCCTCACCCAACCCAGAGCCCATCACCCTCATCAGTACTATCAAAATTTGATGGCAAAAGCTATGGAGCCCCATTGGCATTGCCCAAAGAAGTTGGAGAAATAATGACTTTTCTTTTTTTATTGTAAGCAAGTGGTTGTCCACAAACCCATAGATTTGAAGGTGGGAGAAGCGCCAGTCACCATTAGTTCGATGGAAATGAGAGGAGATAACAGATGAATGGTATGAATGGTTGTGTTGATGCATAAGTCACTTAATATTACAATTTAATGATATCTCTATTGACTTGTAAGCGAAAAGTCTATAATAAAATGAATGGGGTGAATGCAAAATCCTCATAATAATTGTAGGGAATTGTTATTAACACTTAAAAAATCTCATTTGGCACTCCAAACTTTCTATAATTAGAAAGAAAAATACATTTGTGAGAAGTGTATAATGAGATTTTTGGAGCGTTAATAACAGTTCTCATAATTGTAAGGTGTTAATGAATATTGAGTGTCCTTTATGTAGTCCACCACTGCAGAAAAGATTTCTACCAAAAACTTTAATGAACAAAAGTGTTTAACATAAGTATTATTGAACGATCCAACTATTCATCTTTTAGGTCTCTTCTCTAAGATCATCTCTACCAAAAATTACTTAAATTGGAAACCATTTGACTGTTGGATTAAATAAACCTTATTCGTCTATTTTTTTTCCACTACAATTGGATGTCTTAATGCTTATGAATTTGTTTAATTTTTGTAAGGATGATCTAGAAATGGTGTATTAAAACATGGCTTGGATTTGTCCCTCAAATAAAATTATTTGAAGAATCCCGAACAAAATAGTGCTATTGAAGGTAGATCACTTTAGGTTTTTTTTTTTTTTTTTTGAAAACCTCGGTGGTACGAGAAAGATTTATTGCTATTAAAAAAAATGATGCACCTAATCAGGAGGACATAAAATTTACCCTTCATAGAGTAAGAAAAACAAAATACAAGAAAAGAGGTGGGAGACATACACCTTACCTCTCTTGAAAACAAAATTACAAGAAAAGGAAAGGGAGGGGGAACATACGCCTTATCCCTCTTAAAAAAAAATTACAAGAAAAAGAGGGAGGGGGAGACATTGAACTTACTTCTATTGAAAAAGAAAATACAAGAAAACAATGGGGTGGACATAGGACTAAACCCCTCTATAAAACCTAAAAGTTAAAAACCTACAAGACAAGCTGCAAAATGGAAAGGGAAATAAAAAAAGATTAGGTAAAAAAAAAAAAACACACACATAAAGAAGAGGAGACAAACTTGTAGGCCGGCATGCCCAAGACTTTGAGAGCAGAAAGTGAAGAATCTCTATAGGAGGAGCGACATGCCAACAAGTGAAGACGAGAGAAATCCTAAATTGGCTAATTTGTCAGCAACTGCATTCCCTTCTCGAAATGTATGAGAGCAACATAATACCATATTTTGCAATTAGAAAATACAAATTTTCAATGTGTCTAGAGCGACCAAGGAGGAGAAAAAGAACAAAAAATAAGACAAGATATTACGCTAAAAAAGTTACTTTCAAGCCATCAATTTTACTAATTTCACTCACGAACTAACTCCACATAAAGGATGACATACCTAAATAGATCACTTTAGGTATGCCATCCCAATCTTCATTAACATCGTCGCGGAAAAGTCCCTCAGTTGTCTTATCAATGCATGATTTTATTTTCAAAGTTTTGTATTAATTAGCCGAGCTTAATAGGTGATCCGATCTTCTTGTCTATAGCTTTCGTATGTTTTCTTTTTCTCTTGTTCGTTGTTTCTGATTTTTCTTTTACTTTGTATAACAAAATTTGTTTGTTATGAGTCGTGTTACATTGTACCCTATGTATTGGTTTTCTCAATTTGTATGATTGTATCTTACTATATTAAAATATTTTTTTCTTTAATTTGTAATCTCACCGTATTGTTTTCATCTTCAACAACGTAGGGTAGGGTTATCTTTGAGATTTTAAAGTTCCTATGCGGAAGATAATAAATGGACCCTTGTATAAAACTTCATGCTAATTTATATGTCTATGGTTGTATTAAGAATGGACCTATATCAAGTATTATTTGTTGTGAGTTGTAGTTCAAATCAACAAAATATATAAAATAAATAAATAAATACACAATTTAGAGCAAAGTTGACAGAGAAATTAGTGATTCTTCTTATGCATATGGAGGTCATATTTCTCTTTTTATATGCAAAACCTAGAAAATTTCTCAAAGATGAAGTTTTTTTGCTACAAATCAAGTTGGTATATATGTAGATGATATTATCTTTTGGGGCCCTTTGGCTTTGGGATTGGAACCATATGCAAGGGCACCTATTGCACATGACCTAAACCACCACTCGTGTAAGGCTATACACTAATAATTATTGAATTTAGAGAAAAATATAAAGAGATAGAAAGCTTATATGTGTTCCACGAAAAACTTTTCGGGCTTAATGTAGCCCGCTGTGTTTGCTGACCAAAATAATCCCCTTCATGAAGATGAACTTTACAAGTTTTCGAGGTAAAAGTTTCTTGATTGAAACAAAATGAAGAAAAATTCATGGCAAAAAAATAACAAGAATATAAGATAAAAATGAGTGTGTGAATAATACTTTCTTAATATTATCTATGGAGTGTCCAACTTACATGAGTTTTAAGCCTACCTGCATGTGAAAGTATATAAATCTTACTTTGCCTCATTGTTTCGTATTAAACTTGCAAAACATATGTTTTTGCATAATGGCATGCATTTGATATGATCTACTAGTTGCTTCTGAGTTCTGATGGAAACTAAGGCTTACACTTTCAAATATGATGCAATCAATTAGAAATTCAGAAGCTCCTTAGCACGAAGAAAACACGTATCTTCTACTCCAATCTCATGTGTACCAAACGAGCCCACATACAGCTTTCAAAAAGAAGGACAAAGTTCACTATAAGTTGTACTTTGCTTACCTACAATGTAGAGCAATTTGACGAACAATATGGCTGAGGTATTGTACACAATTGAAAAATGAAAAATCTATAGTTGGACATGGTACAAAATTTGGCATCTGCAGAAACATTA